GAAAGAGCAGGGCAGGGAGCAAAAATCAAGGGAACAGACCCCCTACCCCTGCTTTTTAAATTCCTGGCCCCCTCCATCAGGGGACCCACCAACAGAAGGGAAAAAAAAAAAAAAAGCAGCTGATCAGTGGTGGCAGCAAGGCCAGGGAGGGGACGGGGTTACAGCTGCTAGAGATCAGCTCTGGTTGAAGTGAGAAGGTGACCATTTTAGAACCAGAGGGAGGAGGGTTACCTCCGAATGAGAATCACTCAGATTCTGGGGGCAGAAAACCAACAAGGCTGCTGGCTTTCTGGATCTTTAATGGTTTCTTCTTTTTAAATCCAATGATTCCCCTCCCCTCCTCACTCCTCCTCCGAGATCATAGTTTTGTTCACCTGCACCCCCTCTCCTCCCTGGGAGGGCACTACACCGATGGCTGCTCCTCTCCCCCCGGCCCCCACTCCCCACTCAATGTCCCTCGTTCTTGCCTTTTTAAAACTGCATGCATTTAAAGTGTTCGAATGGCCCATTCAGGCCCCCCTGCCCCCGCCCCGGGGAAGACGGGGGAAGGAATCAGGGAGGGGGGAGGCGAAGCTAGGGCCCGCCCTTTCCCCCCTCCCCTGCCCTCCCCATGCCCAACCCTGGGCTCTGCTGTCCCAGCCGAGCAGCTCTGGAAGTCTGGCGCCCCCTGGCTGCGCCCAAGGGGGATGCAGGTATCACTGCAGGTCCCGATCCTCCAGGTAGCGATACTCAAAAGTGAAGCCTTCCTTCTTCCTCTGGCCCCATTTCTCATAGTCAAAGTAGATGTACGTGCCCTGCAGCAGCAGTGAAGGGAGTGTCAGGTCAGACAGACAGGCTGCAGTTATACCCAATCCCCTCTTCCCCAGTACCTCACACTGATTTGGAACACCTGGTCTCCCTTGGGTTGCTGGACATGGTGAGTCCTAGTGGCTGGTTATGGCAGGGTCTCAGCTGTGTACAGCGAAGCCCTGGCTGCTGTGGGCTGGCGTGTTACATGAGGGTCTCATACTGGACAAGTGCTGGCATATTACCACTGTCTCACCCCAGAGCTAGCTGCACTGTAGCGTCAGGCATAAGAGCTGTGCATGCCCGCCACGTGCCGTGCAGATGCTCACCTGCTCAAATTCATCTGTGATGGTCTTGGGCTCCTCGTGCCGCTGAAACCACATCATGTACTTGGTGTGGAACCGCCATGACTGCTTCTTCAGGGCTTTGGCTGCCAGGTACTGCGCCTTGGTACCCTGGGGAGACACGTGCCCATCACACCTCTCCAGCCACCAGGGGACAACACACAGGACAACTGGGAATGTACCACTGGCACAAGGAGGTACTTGGAAACAACCTGGGAGGTTTGGGGAGGGGCTTGGCACATATCACTGGCGCAAGAGGGTTTGGGGTAACTTGGTTCGTACCATGATAGGGAAGAAAAAGGACAGCTCAGAATATACCATTTAAACCTGGAGGGGTGGGGTGGCATATACTAGTGGCCAGGGATCTGGGTTTTCTGTTTGCCATGGAAAAAACGGGGTAAAACCTAGATTCTCTCATTAAAGAGAAACCCGTATTTTCTCCTTTAGAAATGGAGAAAACCATAGGAAATGGCAGGGGGAGCAGGAGAGCAGTCAGGCAGGGGGCATCATGTGCATGTGTGCACATACACATGCACACAGCAGCCAGGCAGCCTGGAGGGCAGCTCCCGCCGGCAGGCCTGAGGAATGGTTTGACATGTAGTAATGGTGCAGGGCTAGTTTGGAATGTACCAATCTACCTGGGGGGTGGGGAATGGTGTGGTATGTACCAGGCCAATAGCTTGGTAAGTCCCAAGAGCACCAGGTGAGTAGAACATACCATTAGCACTCTTCCAAGGGGTGCAATCATGGGACTATCTATCTACACAGCCAGACAAACATGGGCAGGGGGCACAGCACAGCTTGAACCAAGTGCATGGGGTGTGGGGACTCCATAACTGACACTGGAGGGGGATCTCAGGACCCATGAACAGCACCCTGTGTCTGCCTGTGTGCCTAAGGGGGAAGAAATGTGAAACCTACTACTGGCAGCAAGTGGAGGGAACAGGGTACCACTGGGACCCTACGATACAGGGCAAGATCCCCCAGTACATACCAAGAGCCTCTAGCCAAGGGGTTACTTCCCCACAGGTACCCCAGAGAACAAAGGAAGGGAGTGACTTAGCATGTCCCAGTATGGGGTAGGAGGCTAAGGGGCAGAGCATTTCATCAGCATAACAGGGCTGATGCACAAAACCAATGGGCCATGCCCATGGGGAGAGGAGGGTGCACTACCAGCAGCAATCACCCACCTCACCACCCATCCTGAGGAGGAGCAGTGGCCAGACAGAACTGGGCTACAGAGCGCACTGCCCACAGGGGCCCCCAGCTATACCTCCAGATAGTAGAAGATGAAGATGAGCGTCTCTGTCGAGAGGCGCTGGTAGAACTCCACGGTGTCTGAGTGTGGCGGAGGCATCTGGTGGTGGTAAGGGGGAGTCGGGCAAGGGTTCCGGGGCAGATACTGCCTGTGGGGTGGGGACAGGGGGTTACAGATCTGCCTGTGACAGGCGGGGAAGCAGCATGGCATCTTGCTGGCAGCAAAACCCAGGAGTCCTGGCTCCCAGCCATTGCTCTAACTCCCCCAGACCCCACTCCTCCCCAGAGCTGGGACAAGACAACCCCTTTAACCCACTAGATCCCAGAGCTGGGATAGAAGCCTTGCATCCTGGCCCCTACCTCCCCACTCCCCTCAGAGTTGGACAGAACCCCCACTCTGTCCCTACCCCATACAGCAGGAGCCAGGGCTTACCGGATCCTCTCCGAGTCCGAGGGGTGAGGCATGTGGTGCCAGGCTGCTTCCTCCATGGCCTGCTGGTAGAGCTGCTCTTTGGTGAGTGGCACTGGCCCCAGGGGACAGACCCCCAGGGAGAGCGGGATGTTCACCTCCGAGAGCTGGATCGGGGGCTGACTAGAGGCTGGCTGCGAGGTTGTGCTAGTAATCAGTATGTCTGCCCAGAGAGGAAAGAGAACCTGTCAAGGACTCTTGCAGGCACTTCACACAGGGTCCCCTCACCCAGTGCTGAGATCCAACCACTTGCACCTAGTTATATAAAAAAGACCCCTCTCACCCAGCACCAAGACACATCTGCTTCTGGGGTGGGGCATGGGGGGGGCTGTTCATATGGGGTTGGCCTGGTGCCAAGATGTAGACACCTCTGGAGCAGGGGGTGTTGGGGAATCATTCGTGCAGGAGAACCTTTACCCAGCAGTAAGATGCAGCTGCTTCTGGGGTAAGGCATAAAGCTGGTTTTACATAGATCCCCAGTCTAGCACCTAGATACAGCTATCTCTGGGGTGAGATGTTCATACAGGGACTCTACATCCAGTGTAAGACTGAGGCTGTCAAGGGTTGCTGTTCTGCCCTGTACCTCCTTACCCCTTTCAGCAAGGTGAAGGGATGGCACAGGGTCCTCTATGCTGGAGCCAATGGCTGCTCTCTCTGCCATTGATTTCAGACTGCTGAGGGGCTCAGGTGCCTGGAAATAACAGAGTGGGAGGG